AATACGGAAAGCAGCATATAAGCATGCAAGACACAGGCTGGCTGTCCCTGTTCCTTTAACTGCAGTGTGATATTAAGAGTCCAGCGCAGGTTCCACTTTCAATAGTGACCTATTATTCATATGATTATGTTGTGTTTTCATTATCCTCCCTCATAATTACCATTGTGTTTAGTAATCAACAGCAGTGATTTACGCAAGTAACTTTCAAGTCAATCACTCCAGCACTTAAAAACAATAGCTTTGAATGGAGTTATTTCCTGGGAGAATGTTAAATGTTTCCGAGTTCAGATACCCAAGGAAAGGCGGCTCCCTGCATGTAAGGAAAGAGAATGAAACGTTTTCTGGCAGCTGGACCAAGATAAAGTGTACAAGCAAGTGCCATAGTGGCCTGGGAGTGAATGGGAGTAACTTGCTGTTTCCTGCCGAAAATTGTGCTGTTGGATGCATTCAGCTACCTCACGCAGCACACTTTTAATTACTGATATAAATCCTGATAGAGTCCTCCAGGGATCAGAAATAACCTTTACCATTCTGTTTGCAAACAATAGCAGGGCTGTAAAGGAAAGGTAGCTAGTGCAAGTGATTCCACGGGCACTCCTTTAATGTCCCATTTATTGCCTCAGCCTCACACCCTTGAGCCGGTGGCCCACGGATCTGGGTTCCAACCCAAGGTCTTTAACCTACAAGAGCAGGCTCTCAAGTCCCGTATTTCAATAGACTAAAGTCTGGACCGAAAGCCTGGGAAGGGATGGAAGGAAGGGTGGGACCTGCTAGTGGGCAGTGCTGTGGTCCTAACTATAATTGAAGGAGAAGCAGAAGAAAATTGCCCCTTATGTCATGCATACTCTGTTGCAGGTGCTTTAGATCTTAATCTACATGGAAAGGAAATAACTTTGAAATATAAACAAGTGGCTTTCGAAGGTGCTCACACACATGGGCCAAGAAAGGGGGACAGCACCTACTGCTCATAGTGGCATAAAAACCCTAAAAGGCAGTTCTCAGACACACCATGCAGAGAGACTCAAGTCAGAAAGAAATAGATCACCAGAAATCTACACACCAATTCAAATAGGGTGAGGTGGAAAAAGGCAGTTCCGGTTTGCAGATGAAAATGGCAGAGACCTACTAGAGCCTATGCCAGATCCTTTCACGTCTCATCATTCCAGATCCGACTCCTAGAATTCCAGCCAACACCAGAGGTGGCCTACTCATCCCCATGTGCCCACTGAGAGAAATTCGATAGCTATTGGATCCTGCCAATTGAAAAGCTTTTCAATGAGGCTGTTAACTTTCTTAAGGAGAATGATGAAATGCATGAATAAATATGCTTGTTTCAAATTCACTTTCCCCTTGCATTTGACCTGGGGTGGTTGAAATGCATTCTACGGAAAACATTCATAGAGATTGCATTTATGATTTTCTTCTCAAGGGGCTAATTCTTCAAAAATAAAAACCACCACCAAAAAAGCAAACCAATTTTAGAGGGAAAAAGAGTGTGTGGGAAGAAGACTCTGGGCATTATATTTCTTTGGAGTTGCTTCTCCTGTGCATTAGCCAAGAGCCATAAAGTTGCCTTTCATTAACTAGGAATCACATAGCCAGTTCACCCCCATCTATCTTCAGTTCCAGAGAGACATCTGTTTATGAAAAGAGTTTATTAACTAGATGTAATTGGATTCTCTTAAGAAACACGGTAACCTCAACGTGGGAACTCTGTCCATTTACAAATCTGTGATATGAATTATGGTAAACAGAAATGCTAACTCTGCATTGTCAATGGGCAAAGACTTGAACTATTACCTACCTTCCAAAATAAAATAAAAACATCCCCTTCCTTAGGAATAGAAATTGGCAGGATAGAAATGCCTTTGTAAATTTCATCCTATGTAATCCTCAGCATGATCCTCACAATACAAATTAAGTCAACTGAGGCTCAATCAGGCTAAATGACTATTCAAGGTCATTCAGAGCTAGAACCTGAATCCAGCTTTTTGGACCCCATATCTGGAGCTTTTCTCACCAGAGAGGTCTGCATAAATGTCTACAATCCCACCCTCCCTCTCTCTGGGAATACGAGCAATGAATAAAACTAGTATCATGGCCACTTGCTATGTATGCTATACAAAGTAGAACTTGGTCCCTTCAGTTAAAAATTAACTATAGATTGAAGAGCTGATCTCCATTTAACTGAGTGCAGAAAGAGAAACATCAATTTAATTTACAGCTGCAGGGATTTGCAAACCATAAGGCAGAGAGGCCTGAGCACAGATGCTCCAAGTGCTGAGAGCACGGAGCTTTGGAAGATGGACGGTGGTTGAATCTGCAGAATGGGACAAATGGCAAAACGGAACGCATTTGTTTTTCAGGTCTGGAAGACTTAGATGGTAACCCATGCAGACATTGGCAGGAGCGATTTAGGTGCTTTCAGTTATTATAGTAATTCTGGGGCAGAGCAGGCAGCCAATGTGGGACCAACTCCGTGACCTATCTTACTCTTGGGCTCTACGGGGATAAGTCCGAATACCTTTAAGAACCACAGGCCCTTATTCCCAGTCTCCTCAGAGGATGCATACCTAATACCCAGGCATGGAAGGGAGGGGCGGGACAGGAAGACAGAGCTGACAGCCAGCTGGGAGGACATCACTTGGAAGTCTTCACTTGATAGGTTTGCTAGGTGCAGCCCTCTGTACAAGTATGTTGAAGTACAGGAGCTGTCCCCATGGCAGCCCATGTCTCATTCTTGCATCTGAGAACCAAGGCTTGGAGGGGAGCAGGTGGTGATCGGATTCTCAGCCTACTGGGAGTCCCCCTTGTCCCTGGGCTTGGTAAGGAGAGACCCCAATGACCACTTGCATCTCTGATACTTTGCCTGGGGGAGCCTAGGACTTATCTCCTCCCCAATGGTGACAGACCTGGGGATCAGGTCCTAGATATAAATATCAAGCCATGTAACTCCAAATATTACCTAGATGTTCATGACTCCGAAATCTTTACCTTCCATCCAGACCCTTCTCTAATACTCTAGACCAGAGGTCAGCAAACTTTTTCTGTAAAGGGTCCCATAAATTCTCTATTTCACAGTTTCCTTGTCTTTAACCACCCCTTACAAATATGAAAAGCATTCTGAAACTAGCTCTGGGCCATATTTGGCCCCCAAATCTTAGTTTGCTGACCACCCTCGACATTCTTCGTTTCTCCCTCTTGCTTCTACCACCTGCCGCATTTTTTTTCTTTTCCTCCATAGCAGCAAATCTTCAAACCTGAGAACGGCATGGTTTTGAGAGGCCCTAAATGTTATACAGGGACATGCTAAGTAAAATTGGGTGTTTTGTATTTGTTATCTATTGCTGTGAAGCAAACAACCCAAATGTTTGTGGCTTAACACAAGAACCAACATTTATCATTATCATCCCCAATGGTTTCTGTGGGTCAGGGATTCAGAACGAGCTTAGCTGAGCAATTCTGTCTTAGGGTCTCCCAAGGGACTGCTGTCAAAAATGTTCAGCAGGTTGACCAGTAGATCCCAAAATTTATATGAAAATGCAAAATATCTAGAATAGACAAAACAACTTGAAAAAAGAATGAAGTTGCAGGAATTGCATGTCCCGATTTTAAAACATACCATATAGTTATAGTTACCAAGATCGGTTATAGCAGAAATAAGTCCCTAGATTTAAAACCAATTGAGCTTTGACAAAGGTGCAGGGCAATTCAGAGTCCAGACTGCTAACCATTACACAATGGAACCAGGTGCAGGGCAATTCATTGCAGGAAGGGTAGCTTGTTCAAGAAACGATGCTGAGAAAATTGAATGTAGACCCTCACAATACACAAATGTTAACTCCAAATAGATTATAGACATAAGCATAAGAGCTAAAACAAGACATTTAGAAGAAAATATAGGAGAAAATCTTCAAGGTCTTGAGTTAAGCAAAAAATTTATAGATACGTCACTAAACGAACGGTCTTTCAAAGAAAAAAAAGAATAAATTGAACTGCATCAAAATTCAAAACTTTGGCACTTCAAAAAACAATGAAAACAAAAAGACAAGTAATAGACTAAGAGAAAATATTTGCAAAATACCTATCAAATAAAGCACTTGCATCAAGAATTTATAAAGAACCCAATCATAAAATGGATCAAAAGATATGAACAAACATTTCACTAAAGAAGAAATACAAATGGCTAATACACACAGGGAAAGGTGCTCAACATCATTAGTCACTAAAGTGATGCAAATGAAACCACAATGAGATACCATTTCACACTCACTAAAATAACTATTGGGTTGTCGGAGAAGTCATGACGTATTTCTTCTATGTTTTTCACTGCAAAAATGCATCATGACTTTTCTGACAACCCAATATAATAAATAAAACACACTGTAACAAATGTTAGCAGGAATGTGGAGAAATAAGAACACTCATACATTGCTGGTGGGGATGTAAAATGGTGCAGCCACCGTGGAAAACAGCTTGGTAGTTTTTCGAACAGATACACAGAGTTATCATATTCAATTTCACTCCTAAGTGTATACCCAAGAGAGTAGCAGAAAACACATACACACAGAGATTTGCATGTGACTATTCATAGCAGCTTTAGTCCCAATAGTCAAAAACTGGAAACAACCCAAATATCCATCAACGAGCAAAACAAAATGTGTTGCAACCATATAATGGAATACAATTCAGCAAAGAAAAAAAGGAACAAACTACAGATACATGCTACAACATGGATGAACCTCATAAACATTATGCTAAAGAAAAGAAAGCAAAGAGACCACATATTACGACTCCATTTATATTAAATGTCCAGAAAAGGCAGGCTTATACGGGCAGCAAGTAGATTAGTGGTTGCCCAGGGCTGGAAGTGAGAAGCAGAATGGTTCAGTTTTCTGGTAAATAAAATATACTCCAATCATATTATGACTGAGGAGGACGTCAGTCATTAGAAAGCTAAAGTGAGATGAGAGGATTCATTTTCAAGGAGTCTTACTCACATGGCTGGCAAACTGGTGCTGGTTGTTGGTGGGAGGCCTCAGCTCCTCACAAAACCTCCTTCAAAAGGATGCTCGAGTGTCATCACAACATGACAGTTGTCTTCTCCTGCAGCAAGTGATCCAAAAGAGAGAGAATCAGATAGCATCTACCCTTTCTATTGCCTTTCCTCAGAAGGCAGAGCTACCGTGGTCAAACTAAGAAATCAAAAAATAAGACTCAGTTGGATGGATTTTCTTGACCAACTCGAACTTTTCTCTGGAGGCATTTGCCAACATTACATCCCAATCTATTCTCATCAATGGTGACATCACTGAAATGAGTATAGAGCCCCACCCTAAAGGACTACAGTAAAAAAGACAAAACTCTTTTGTTTATGTTTCTTAAAAGCAACTTTCTTTGTTCTAAACATGTATTTCATTGTCTCATCTATATACATTAATAATGAAAACAAAATGTGTTTAAAGTGAATAAACTGGAGTTGCTGGTCCATGGACCACACTTTGAGTAACAAGGCTGCATACTATCCACCTGTCCCCCTACCACACCACCATTCTCCTCTGCCAGGATCTGACACAAACCTTTCCCTATCCCCACTGAATTAATTCACAAAAATAGACTGCTTGAGAAAGCCTACCTAACCAAGTCATCTATACACCCAGACATTTCTGTGTAGAAATAATTAATATAAATTGAGTGCCTACTAAATACCAGATACTTTTTTTTATATATTTACACACACACACACACACATGTATGTGCGCGCACGCACACACACACATACACAAATTTTATATTATTTTCACAATTCTAGTTATTATCAGTCTCATTTCATGGGAGGAAACTGATACTTAGGTATTAAATAATTTGCCAGGGTTGTGTAGCTAGCAAGTAGCAGAACTGTGTCTTGAACCCCAGAAGTCTTCCTACTAAAGATTCATGTATAATTGTTTCTCCACTATTCTGAACCGCAGTGGAGGAACACAGTTTATACTCAAACTGAATCCCCATAACTGGGACAAGGATAGAGCCATCCTGGTTTGGGGCAGTTGTTCATCTCCAACATTGAACTTATCAGCCAGAAGAAGAGAACATGATGTATAGTTCTCATGGCTTTATGACCTTATTCTAAGTACCATGAAACTCCCAAGGAAGCTATTAGACGTTTTAGTGACATGGAAAAATGGGAGATGTGGCCAACTTGACAAAACAAGGAGGATGAGGAATAAACTTTAAAGAGAAAAGAAAAATATTTTAAAAATTAAAAATCAGATAATAGCATATAACACGACTTGGCAAACTATCAGCTGTAAGCCAAATATGACCCACCATACAATTTTTGAAAATAAAACTTGATTGCATCACAACCACGCCCACTGCCTATAGCTGGCAATACTACTGCAGCAGAGTTTAGTAGTTACAAGAGAGACTACATGACCTGCAGGTCTGAAATATTTACTATCTGGCTCTTTAAGAAAAGTGTGCTGATTCCTGGACATACTTGTTAGAGTGGGTCCATAAAGAGCCAAACAAAGAATATAACTAGTAAAAATAGTTTTTGCTACATACAACAAAAATTGCTTTCTTTTTCCTGTGAGTGCGTTTGGCTAAGCAAAGATGGGGTTTGTTGGAAAGCGAATGAGCTAGAGAAAAGATGGTTTCTTTTCTCTTTGGTGGAGAGAAGTGACACAGCAGCTCAAACCAGCTTATGAGAGCATCTCTTCCCAGCCTCATAGTCAGCAACAAGCACATTGTTAGCTTGAAATCAGACATGGTAGGAGTATTTACACCATGAAATTCAGCAAATGCTACAAATCAGGTCTCCCTCCCCAGCCCACTGCTGGAAGTGAGTTTATCAAAGTATAAAATGTGATGCTTCAGTGCCAAGGACGCTGTAGCTTCCTTAACTGTCTGAGTAGAGGCTGCAACACCAAGCCACCCTCCAGCTTCCCTTCCCCTTACCTCTTCCTTTCCTTTCTTCCTCTCTTGACTTTGGGCTTGAATGGGGAGAGAAGCGCCAACATGGCTCTGGTTCTAGTGGAAGACGCTGGCTTGGGGTCGTGGTTCTCCAGTTGTACTGGGCATCGGGATCACCTGGAGGGAGAATTAAACTCTGAAGTACTGGGTCCCTCCCCCAGAGTTCCTGATTCAGTAGACTTAGGCTAGGGCCTGAAAATTGGCATTTCTAACCAGATCCCAGGTGATGCTCATGCTGTTCATCCAGGGACCACACTTTGAGAACCACTTGCCTGAGGCTTCTTGACTGGTCCCAGCTGAGTTGCACCTCACAGCCTGTGGACCTCAATGTAATACACAGTCTGCATTGAATTTCGTTTCAGCACAAACACAGGAATTCTTTACCTCCCTCCAAGACAATGAGAAGGACCATCACTAGACTGTCACATGGTGTTCCCCCAATACAAAGTCACTTCCACTTTTGCCTTCATTATTCTGAAAAGCTTGAAAAGCTGGAGAAACTACGTGAATGCTGTGTTTACAGGTTTCCAGGTACCTGGGGTAAATTCATCTAGGGTCTAGCCTATAGTCTGCTAATTCTGTGTCCAAAGCAATCCAGAGCCTTGTACACAAAACCAGGGCATAGGAGGACCCAAGTGTGTACCTTCTTTACCCATTTCATAGGAAAGCCTGCAATGGAAGGCCTCCCCACTCTGAGAAACCTCCCTGGGAAGTCAGAGGAGAGTGATTTGGGCAAGAACCCCAACAGCTGCTTTTAATAAGTGGATTCTATAAACTGAATTAGCTGTAGGTTCCTTTATAATCATTGCTATTATGTGAAATTAACTGCAAGTTCAGAGTGAAAAGAATTATGCTCATTGAATTTGATCAGTATATGATTGGTGTAAATTATACGTTGAGTTCTGACACTGGATATTTTTCTGGCTTTCATTAATTACCTTAGTAGTCATTTTTAAGGCAGTTTATAGTGCTTTAGAATTTACGAAGCTGTTCTTTATAATCATTATCTCTTTTGTAATGAAGAGTATAATTTTTTTTTTTTTACTTTTATTTGTTCCATTTCTACCTTGTAACATTTGGTAATTGTAGGTTTTTCTTGAATCCTTCTCACAGCCCCTTTCATCTCCACTTTCATGCAACCATAAATTGAAGCCATTTGAGTGCTATTAGAGGTGGACGTAGGTTTTGTCAACGCCAATTCCAAGAAATTCTGTTGATCAAATAACTTCCATTATGTAAAATCAGAGGAATTTTAAATTAAGAAGAAACAGTGCCTCACAGACCACTGTAATTTCATAGATTTCTTAAATAGAAGAGCTAGGGAGTGCTTTTGCTTTAAACAAAATGAAATTAACCGGTCATAAATTAATATGCTCCTGTAAACTCTTGGAAATCTGAACTGAATTATATGCCATATATTGAGTTTGCTGTGTTCAGAGTAAATTGCTTCTTAAACAAGCACAGTAGGAATGGCCCCTTACATTTAAACAGTGCATTAATTTCCCAAACACCTGTACAACAATTTACTGCCGTATACACCTTTAAATATTTCTGCTTCTGTGCCACATTTCCCCATTTTAAAGATAAGGAAGCTGAAGATTAGAAAGGGAATTGGCTTGTCCAAAATGCTACTATTGGCAACTCGGGAGGCATCTTTTCACTTTCTCTGAATCCTCACTATGCAGCATGTGGTTCAAAGGACCAGCAGCAGCGTGCAGCTCCTGGAAGCTGATTTAAAAGCTTTAGACTGAGATCCCACTGCAGACCGTAGGAACCAGAATCTGCTTTTAATGTGATCTCCAAGGCATTCATGTGACACTACAGACTGAAAAACTCTGCTCCAAGTCACACTGCTCCACTCTGATCAGAAGTGGGTGGGCAAAACGTCCCTCATCCTCAGGTCCAGAGGTTTCCAGCTTCCATCTCTCTCCAGGCACAGGCCACAGCCTTCTTCACTCTCTTCCTTGGCTCCAGGACCTCCATGATATCGCAGACCCTCTAGTCCTGCTCCCCTGACTCATCAGCAGTCAGATCTTAACCAGATACGGGAATCATGCTGTAGCAGAATCCCTACGAGGAGATGAAACTGGAGAGGAAAGAGGCTACATCTGCTTAGAGCTGGGCACGTCATGAAGGAGCTTGTGTCCACAAACAGCTCTGCACAACGGTTCCCATCGCTCCTCTCCCTTCTGTACCCAGAGACTTGTGGTCAAAGCCACAGAGTACTGATCTATATCAAGTAAGGGAGAGGCCTGGACCCTGCCTCCCGGAGAGTTCATTTAAAGGTAGATGTCAGTGTAGAGAGAACGAACAAAATAATCTGCATGGGGCCGGCCGAGTGGCGCGATGGTTGGGAACTGGCTTGGGACGCCAGAGGGCCCCGGGTCAGATCCCACATATGAGGGCCAGTGACACTGCCCTCTGCAGCTAAGATGGTGAACAACAGCTCAACCTGGAGCTGGGCTGCCATGGGTCACTGGCGATGGCGTAGGCTGCAGCCCCTGTGGCAGCGGGTTGCCATGGGCTACCGTGTGTGGCCGGCGGCTAGCGTGAGAGGCCAGCAGCCACAGTGAGTGGCCATCCAGAAGCCAGAGACTGATCTGCCTTGCCCAGGAAGAGCACAATGATGGTGCCAACTTGGGCCAGTGAAGCAACGTCCTCCACGACTAGACTGAAGAACAAAACGACAGCAACTTGTCTGTTCCCCTTCCCCCAATTCCCCAATAAAAATAAAAATTAAAAAAATAATAATCTAATTGGTAGCACATGGTCTGCAAGTTTCAATAAGTGGTAAATATTGTGACAACCAATCTATGGTCAGGCTGTCTCTTTGGGATGAAAAATGCATCTTACCATTTATGTAGACATTCATGTGGTCTATATATGGAGCTGTCATTTCCCCCTTATCTTCTCCTTCCCCCTGAACAACCAAGAGAGTTTGTCCGCAACCCAGACTGAAAATTGGAGGCTTGATCTCTGAGCTGGGGACATCAGGTGCAGACAGGAGCAGGGTGAACTGCCATCCTGAAAACGGGACTATTAACATGAATGTCTAGATTCTGAATGGCAAGGTCATTACCTCCTACTGCTCCCAGGTCTCTGTCAGAGGGTCTTATTTCACTCTGGGACAGGATTTGGATATCTCATCTCCATAGAAACGGACTGGCCACAGAACAAACCACCTACAGATATTGACATTTCACATGATACAAAAGCCCACCCAGGCCTGATCGCCCTATAATGATACCTCAGGTTTAACACCTTCTCTTTGTACCCAGAGTTCTCTGTCAACTTCTAAGTACTTTACTTGGCCAAAGAATTCCAGTTGTTTGAGGGAAGTTTCTAACCTGAAAGACAGCGATCAAAACAAACTGAAGTAGGGGCCGGCCAAGTGGCGCGATGGTTAAGGATTGGCTTCGGATGCCAGAGGGCCCCGGTTCGGATCCCACATATGAGGGCCAGTGACACTGCCCTCCACAGCTAAGATGCTGAACAACAGCTCGACCTGGAGCTGGGCTGCCCGTGAGTCGCCGGTGTCGGCGTAGGCTGCAGCCCCTGTGGCAGTGGGTTGCCATGGGCTACCGTGTGTAGCCAGCAGCCGCAGTGAGCGGCCGTCCAGAAGCCGGCGACTGATCTGCCTCACCTGGGAAGAGTGCAAGGATGGTGCCAACTTGGGCCAGTGAATCAACGTCCTCCACAACTAGACTGAAGAACAAAAGGACAGCAACTTGTCTGTTCCCCTTCCCCCAATTCCCCAGCACTGTTCCCATCACCCCAATTCCCCAATAAAAATCTTAAAAAAAAAAAAAAACTGAAGTAGAAGAAGACTAGGAGAAAGGGGCAATTTGCACGGAACAAAAGAAAACTGAAAATAACAAACTATAATTTCCATCCTGAGAAGATAAGAAAAAAATATTGTATCCACAGAGCAAGTACTGATGAGTTCAGAGAAGAGCTAATGGAAAAGACCAACATAATTAAAAATAATAATAATAATAAATAAATAAATAAAATATATATATATATATATATATAGTTAAAGTCTATTCAAGGTCTGGAAAAGAAAGTTGAGGAAATTATCTATCATCTAAGGAAAAGTCAGAAATGAAAAATTATGAGAGAAATATATGAACATGAGAGGGGTGAGTGCTATGACAGATGATAGATAGCTAAAAATTCTTTGCTATTCTTCCCATGGAGATTTAGAGTCTAAATGCCCTCTTCTTGAAAGAGAGCTGATCTACTTGCTTGATGAATAGACTGCTATAGACATGATATTCTGGGACTTCCAAGAGTAGGCCAGAAGGAGCCTTGAAACTTCTACCCAGGCCCCCTATAATACTCTGCTAGAACCTAGCCACCATACTCGAAGGGAGCTCAAGAAGCCCTGTTGAGAGTCTCATGTGGAAAGGTACCAAGGTCCCCATGAACAGCCACCCCCAACTTGCCAGCGCCATAACTGGGCCATCCTGGAAGTAAGTTCTCTAGTCCCATGGCAAATGGCCTTGTGATGCCACAGCAAGCAGGGATGAAGCCATCTCCCTGAAACCTTGGCCAAAGTACAGATTTGAGAGCAAAATACATGACTGCTATTGTTTTAAGCCACTTAGTTCTGAGATGGTTTGTTATATATCAATAAATTACTGGAATGAAGGCCAACATTTGACTGATAAGAATTTTAGAAAGAGAGATGAGGAAAAAGAGAAAAAACAATAGAAGGAAGGAAACTTTCAAAATAATTATACAAGAAAAATTCCCAGAACGGAGTCTCCACATTTAAACCAAAAGAAAAACAAAATACTGAGTGCCCAACACAATGCATGAAAAAATACCTATTCCAAGGTACGTCATCATAAAATTTCAGAATACTAATGGTAAAGAGAAAATCCTAAACACTTCCAAAGAGAAGAAAAGGAGAGGGCGGAGGGCGCCACATACAAATATCAGAGATCAAATTGCTCTTAACAGCAGTGCTGCACGCTAGAAGACATGAAACAAATGCTTCGAAGCTATTGTGGGGAAAAAAAAATTAACCCAGGATTCTGTTAATCAGTTGCGAGGGGAGGATAAAGACATCATTTTCTTACGTGCAAGGTCTCAAAGATTGGTTCTGCCAGAAAAGAGTAAGCCAAGATAAAGAGGTTCTGGGCTCCTCCAGGAAGCAGCCATCTCACACAGAGAGGTGCAGGAATTCCCAGGGGGAAGATAAAGAGAAATTGCACTGTGAGAGCTGAGCAGCAGGCCCAGTTTGGAGAACAGAGGGCTCCAGCGGGACGAGGTAGATGAAATCAGGAAGCTCCCTGGTGGTTTGACCATACTAAAAGGAGTTTTGCAGTTCTGAAAATGATTTCGGTTTTAAGGAGTGATGGGTAAATGAATAATCATGCAACGGTAAAATGTTCAAGAAGCCATCAATCCTAAGAAAAGCAAAAAGTTATAGAGAAAAGAAATGTAAGTGCTGTATTCTATAGACTCGGTTCTAATAATGTTTACACGATCCTAATAATGTAAACACAGTCTATTTAACCCAACATTGTGAAATTGTGACATAATGAGAAGAATGTGAGAAAAAATGGAGGGCAATTGAAGAGAAAGGAATCAGTCTTCTACCATGGTTAAAAAAAAAATCGCTAGCTAATATCTTACATTGAAAAATCAAGAGAAATCAGCCTAAGCATACCATTTGAATAGAAGGCAATACATTTATACTTAGGCTTATAAGACTCACACCAGTCTTTCTTGAGAGAAAATTTGTTTAGGAAACGCAGGGCCAGGACGAGGGTAAGGCAAGTGAGGTGCCTAGGCTCAAAACTGAAGTGCACACTCTGAGAATGAGTGCCTCCTTACATTTTGCACCCTAGACTCCCTGCCTCACCCTACTCCCAGACATAGGGGAGAACACCGGATATCATAGAACCGATAGGCAAAAGAAGATGGGGGAAATGTAACAAGATGGGAGGAGGGTCAGGGCTGTGTAGAATGTGGGATTGAATGAATGGATCGAATGGAAGACCTTCAAATCAAGCCTCAACAGATGCAAGGGGGAGAAGAGAAAGGCATTCTAGGTTCCACGACAAATGCCAAGGAACAAAAGCAGGCATGAGAAGTTGGAGGAAATAAATATAATTGTAGGCAGAGAGGAAGGAAGCAGTATAGAACGGATGTTATTATGGGTCACAGATCCTAAAACTCTGCATTGGATTCACAATACACGGTGCAATTCTTGCAAAAGAATTAGCTTCTCAAACAGAAGAAACGAATTTAAGGACAGCCTACAGTCGATTGCCTTTCTCTCCAGGGCCTCAAACCATAATCTAGAAGCTTTCACTAGTCAGCATCAGTGGGTTGATAGCATTGGCCCATAGGGGGCCTTGAGACAGTTGGCATAAAGAGTGTTAGATGGGCACAGGACATGCTTCCACTCAGAATTGCTTAATATGAGTTTGCACAGTGGGGCCGAGTGGGTGGACGCCTGCTGAGGAGAGCTTTGTGCCCTGACAGGAGGACAGCACAAGCTGTTAGGTGCCATGGGGCTCTTCTGCTCCAAAGCCAGCTTCCCTTGAGTCCCTGGGAAATAGATGAGAACGTTTAAGTGGGAGAGGCTCAGAATTTGTGATGACTGAGATAGCATTGTGAAAGTAAACAAACGTTTAGCCCAGGATCCTCTAAAGGAATGGGAGACAATGTTTTGTTTGCCTATTGACTTGGCTTAGCATAATATTTTCTCAATCGTGTTCCTGTATCAATTTCTGACAGTACAATTGAAGGCTGATGCAGGAGCACATTGTCTACAGCACCAGCCAAGGAAATCGGGAGTTTGGTCAGTGGCTGTAAATATCCTCTTGGTATTTCGATTTGTTTACTCTGAAGCACTCTCTCAGGGGCCGAGAGGGTTCTGGGACACACTGGCACCAGATCTGCAGTGGGAAAGATCAGTTGCTGAGATAAGGGTTGGGGTCCGCCTTGAGACGTGCCATGAAAAAAAGATCTGATTTAGCCATTAAATCCTTCGAAAGGGTGGTGAGTATGACTATAACAATGGGGTATTCAGAAGAACACTTGGTAGGCAGGAAAGGGATGTTCAAACACAAATGCAACAGAGCTTATGGGACTGAAGTGTCGCTCCCTCTTGTTTTAGGGGTCCTGATTGAACCTCAGGAAGAAGACTATAGAGGTAGATTCCTGCTGTCCATGACCCAAGAGATGGTGGAGACCAAATACTAAAGCCAGAGGACAGCAAAATCTGCTAAAGATTTGTCTCCTGTTCCACATTTAATCCTGGTCCACATGATACACTGTGGGTGGTCCTGGCTGAAGTTAGCGGGAATGTGCTCATTGAGCCTTCTTGTTTTTAAGTGTCTTAATGGACTTGAGGGCTGCAGGAGCAAGGTCATTGTCAGAGAGGGTGTGTGTGTGTGGGGGGGGAGAGAGATCATCACATAAAGAAATATACAGTAAAAAAACATATGTGTACATATAAACCTATGTAGAAGTAGGGAGAACCCCGAAAAAACATTTCCCAAGATTTACAGAGTGTCAGAAGGAGTGACACATATCCCTAGTAGATTGTCTACTAAAGGTTCAAGAGATGCTATGAAACTAACCACACACACACACACACACACACACACACACACACACACACACACCAAGAAGTAAATTAAAGGGATTCTTCAGTGTCTGCAATTCTTCAGGCTGAAATCTCTTGTTTGTATTTAGTGTGGAGTGTTTTTCCTAAAGGATATCCTGTTTGAGATTAGTATTGGCTGGTTCCTCTTAACATCCTTAAAGAAACATCCAGAAAAAAAACTAAATAAACCCCCACCCCTCCAATAGCATGCCAAATGATTTGTCGAGAGGAAGTCAGGGACAGAGTTACATGAACCAAGATGTATTCTCCTCTCCTCCCGCAGGCTCCTGCTATAACCAGAGTCCCTGATGCTTCCCGAAAGGAGAAGGTATCTTCTCCCCACTATTGGCATCCTAGGGGGAGGCAGTGTGGCCGTGGAATCATACCACGCTGAGACCAGTTCCTGGCTTAGCTACTGGGTAACCTCAAGGAAATCTGTGCCTCAGTTCACTTGCCTTGTAAAATGAAGCTACATGATGTTTATCTCAGAGGGCCACTAGGAGAAGCAAATGAGCAAACGTATATAAAAGCACCCTCTCGTTTACAATGAAATTTAACACACATTATTATGATGCATAGTTCTCCCATCAACCAATTAACAATTTTTAAAAACGATTAAAAATATTAATTTTTTTATCATTTAACTCAGCAACAGTGTGTTCTTTATATGATTAAAACAAAACACCCAATAATATTATTATTGGTTTTCTTGTCACTATCAGATTTGAAATACCAAATTTCTCAACCAATGTTTCTGCTGCCTCTTCAAGCAATCACCATAAAGTGATAAAATACCAAGGGCCCTAAACACTGTAGGGGAAGTGGAAATTAAGAACGAGAGAGACGGAGTCTATGTGACCCAGTACATTGTACATCGCGATTTTAAAGCTTCTCCCTCAGGGCTCTTCAACCCGACATCTTGTCCTTCTACTGTGGCCATTACCTTAGGCTTTCAGCAGAGCTTATCTGGATTACTACAGTAACCTTTCTAACAGTTTTCTCTGTCTTCAGATTTATATATTTCACTTTCACACGAGTAAAGTTGGATAATATGTTTATCGTCACCTCATTCTCCCCCACCATTCCCCACGATATTTATGCTGAGTCTTATTTAACAACTTTCATGTCCTTCTGACTTTTTGCCTGAAATGAACCTTCACAACCCCTGTCACCTTTACTGCTCAGGTCTTAGTTCAGGTGTCCCCTCCTTTGGGAAGTGTTTCCAATACTCCTTCTGTGCCACCCGTGTGTTCCCAGCTCCTGAAAGACGCCAATTCTATGTGATCTATAAGTTTGTGTATATTTTTTTTATCATATCACTAATTACTTGGCATTGAAATTGTTTATTTGCAGATCTTCCCTGTGGTGTAATGAGTATCCGAAGGAGAGGAATTATGTCAAATATCTTTTTATGTTTCTGAGACCTAGCACAGTGTCTGGCATAGCATAGGTTTAATGTATGTTTATTATGAATAAACAAATAGGCAAAAGAACAAATTCTGAGAGCTGAAATGTGTTGTCAAATGATGACTTGTCTGAAGATTTAAAAAATAAGCTCAGACAGCTCCCCTTTTAGAGTGCTCTGAAACTATAGACTTGGCAGAGGTAGGGTAGGGGTGAACTAGATGGTAGCTGCACCCCATCTGGCCCTCTTGCTTTAGGCCTGAAGCTGGGGGTGGGGAGAAGTAATTTCTTTAGAAAGGAACAAAACATAGTAAAAGGAAGTTAACTGTTGAGTACTTACCACATCCCAGGACTGTGACAGGCAATCTAAATATCCAGTTTTGTCTTCATCATGATAATCGTATGAGTTCGGTGTTTTTAATCCCCCTTTTACAGGTGAAGACACTGAAAATTAAGGAAGTTAATTAACTTTCCAGCATCACATAATTCCTAAATGACAAAGCCAACGTTTGAGCCCAGATTCTCCCAGGCTCCTTGAGCCATGCTTCTCCAAGTGGAGGATGAGTAGGTAAATAAATTGCACAGGTAAGTGCTGTGCGGATTACATGAAGCAAGGAGGTATACATACGGCACATCTTCCTGGGGCCATTTTACTTAAAATTTCATATTCAAAAACCACACAATTAAATACTTAATTTGTATAAATGTTTAGGTTAAAGAGAAACCACTAAGCACAATTCTGAGTGGAAGCATCTCCTATGCCCATCTGATACCTTTTATACCAAGGGTCTCCAGGCCCTCTATGGGCCAATACTACCAACTCACTAAAGCTTCTAAATTTTCTTTTTAGGCCCTACAAAGAAAGACAATCCACTGTAGGATATTCATCAATTAGTTTCTTCTGCTTTAGAACCTAATGTTTTTTGGTCAAGAATCTAACCATGTATTAAGAATCCAACCTAGTGTTTTAGAATCCATGATCCTTAAATGTTTTCAAATTTAGGGCTGATTGCCCTCAAGGCTGGACCCCAGGCTCCCAGGTTGTACACTCTCACGCTCTGGGGTCATCCGAGCCACAGTAGTGAAATGTCGGAAAAGCTCTGGACTGCTGTCAGGAAAGCAGCAGATGTATGCCAAGACTGACAAGGAGGCCAATGACGCATCGCCCTCCAGGCGGTGGGACCGGTGCAGTAGAGGTTCCAGCTGTGACACACGTGGTCCAGGGAGGGAGGGAGAACAAAACAGCAGGAGCTCATCTGTGCATTTAGCAGCTTGAATCTGTCCAAGAAGTTATTTCCAAACCCCGAACACAGGATATCTCCCCTCCCTACTCAGCAGCAGACTCTGGCTCAGGGATATACTGTCTTGCCAAGGAGGCTGAGCAAAGCCAGTGGTGTCTGGACCGTCTGGAATGAGAATGTTGAGGAGAAACGTTTGCGATGTCACTGTTTAGCTTTATTTTCTTCCTAGCATTTTAATAGCAGTTCATTTAGTTATGCACTTATTATCACTTGAATAGTTATTTAAAATTTTTTTTTGCTTTTTTAAAATTAGTTTCAGATGTATAAAACAGCATAATGAATAGACATTTACGCCCCTCACAAAATGATAACCCCCTCTTAGTCTACTACCCTCCGACATTGTATATAGCTGTTACTATACCACTGACTATATTCCCTATGCTGTACTTAACATCCCATGAGTGTGTGTGTGTGTGTGTGTGTGTGTGTGTGTGTGTATTATATGACATTTAATATTATTCTACATTAGCTTCTGTTGTACGGCGCCGTGGTCAGACATCTACACAGTCTATGAAGTAATCCTCCCAATAAGTCCAGTGCCCATCTGACACCTTACATAATCTATACAACATTATTGATTATATTTCCTATACTGTATTTCACATCCCCGTGACAAAAATATGGAACACTTCATGAATAGGCGCCTCATCCTTGCACACGGGCCATGCTAATCTTCTCTGTGTCGTTCTAATTTTAGTCTATGTGCTGCCCAAGCGAGCACTGCAATGTCACTTTTGAAGCTGAACTCAGATGCCCAGTTAGCAAATAATATTTTGCTGGAGTTCCGTCTCATTTTATATTTCATGGATCACTTAACCTTTGCACAGAGCCGCAAAATTGTCAAGTCAACCTAAGACTTTCATTCTAATTCACACCCAAAAAGCATATGCCATATTTAGTCTACAATAAGATACATATTTTTGTGTTCACATCTTAACATCTCTTCAAATTGCTGTCTCTTCAGATTGATGACGTGTCATGATCTAATGGGCCGCGATTTTCCTTGTTCTTTCTTTGTGTCACATTAAATAATGTATCCTGTCATCGAAGGCTTCTGGAATTCACACAGGTATTGTGCTTTCACTGCTAGGTTTCCATATACACACTGTATATGTATGTAAGTTTAATGAGTTTTAAACATTATAAACTGTTGAAACTTGCTTTCTTATGAAATCTTCAAATGCAGCACTGTATACAAGAGAAGTAAGAGGGACTGTCTTGGGTGAGGCAGGAATTGAGCCCTTTCCGCATATACAGGAGCACTGAGTGTTCTTTGGTCTTTCTTGAGGCAACTCAGTAGCATATGGCAAATCAAGTAGACAGTAAATGGATGAAGGTATAAATATAAGGTACACTATAAGTATTTGCCGGGAGCCGGCTGCACCTCAGTGTCTGACATGGCCAAGTGCACTGCTATTGTGACAAATTCTGAAGCTCTGACTGAGAAACAGATACTGCTTTATATCTTAGAAGATTTAAATTCCCCTTTGGATGCCCCCCAGTAGGACGAAGATCTTACACCCCTTCTGATAGCTATATCACATTAGTCACACTACTAGTCTCTTAGTAAAGGTCAAAGTACACACCCTATAAATCTTAAGATCCTGCTTAGCTAATAGTGTTTAGGATAATTGTTGAGTAGACATAGTCACTATAGGTAAAAGGATTAGCCTTAGTCACATAGTCACTATAGACAAAAAGGATTAAAACACAGTTAAGATAAATTGATCTTTTAGCATAAGAAAAAGTGAAGCTGTACCTGGAGCATAAGAATTACCCTGATCTAAACTATGTAAAAGAACTTTTTACTAATGAGATAATGGTCAACTCTAAAAAGGGGCATGCTGTAAAGTGAGACACTTCTCTTCTTGAGAAAGCGCTCCTGTGTCTCCCCGCGTTTTTTCCTTTTTCCTCGCCAACTCCGCCTCCACCTGAGGGAACCCCTGGATCCCACGGGAGCTGGTCTCCCGCAAGTATTAAAGTTGATCTTATTGTCCATTTCCATATCTACCTCCAATGAAATGCCAAGAACATTACGTAAATTACTATTTAGACTCATCAAGAGAAAAAATGAGAAGTAAGAATAGAAAGAGAACCATAGAGAAAGAAAGAAATGAAAATAACTATAAGAAATAGTTGCAAAGGTCTATACAAACACACTTGAAAACCTGGCAGAAATGGACTCTTCTCAGGAAAAATGCAAACTGCCAAAACTGACCCAAGACAGGAAAAATTAAACTGACCAATTGTGAGGGTTGTTGAAGAGCACCAGTGTCTATTAAACCATTCCAGAGTACAGAGTAAGAAGTAAGATTCCATATTATTATTATTATACAGTCATCACAATAATATCTGACCAAGTTAGCACTTACGGTCCAACCTACTTAATGTCTATCAATGTAAAAATTATAAAATAAATATTACACAGAGAATTTAGCAGTACATTGTCTAATAATGTTTCAGCACCATCTGGGGCTTGTTCATAAACCCAAGGAGAGTTCAATGTTAAAAAATATGTTCTTACAAATCACATGAATAAGTGAAAGGGCCAAAAATCATAGATTCATTTCAATAGATGCTGAAATGGATGCTTCTTTAACATGGCAAAAAATAGTATCTCAAACTATGCTACCTGTTTAATGACAAACTGTTACAAATATTCCCATTAAAGGAAAAAACAAATCTGGGAAGGTCATTATCACCACCTACCTTCATGTAACTTCTTTCTGGAAATACTTTCCAGTGCAACTCAACACAAGACATAGTTTAGAAGTTCAAAAAAATTAGAGAAGGAAAAATAAGCATTACTTATAAATTTATAAATCATTCATAAATGATTTATAGTTGGAAAGTCTAATAAAATAAATTGAAAAACTTTATTTATTTATTTATTTATTTTTAAAGATTTTTTTATTGGGGTATTAGGGGGATGGGAACAGTGCTGGGGAATTGGGGGAAGGGGAACAAACAAGTTGCTATCCTTTTGTTCTTCAGTCTAGTTGTGGAGGACGTTGTTTCACTGGCCCAAGTTGGCACCATCATTGCACTCTTCCTGGGTGAGGCAGATCAGTCGCCGGCTTCTGGACGGCCGCTCACTGCGGCTGCTGGCCGCTCACGCTGGCTGCTGGCTACATACGGT